GTGAAGCCCTGCTCGGATTGCGGGGAGGATGATGCATTCACAAAGGCCAGTCCGCAAAGCATACTCTTCTCTCAAAGTCAATAAACCTATCTGGAAAACAAAATTTCTACCATTGACCCATTGGTGAGCACCAACCAGAGAACGAGGGGTGGCTGGGTGGCCTTAAGAGAAACAGTACTTGAGAGCTGTTGGGCTCCGAACGCCCAGTTTCTCTATCTCCACCCAGAGGATGGACCTCTCTTGGGAACTGGGCAGCTCCTGTGGCCGCTCAGAAGAGCCTGTTGGTGTGCCTGGGTGGGGAGTGTGTGGGACACACACTCTGTGCAGGCTGCGGGGAGTCAGCCCAGGTTCCAGCACTCACTGTTCCCTGAGGTTAGTTTATTTCATCTCTGTTAGATTCCGCTTAATTATTCATCACATGTGGGGACTAATGGTGGCAAATTAGTCCCCTACTAATGTAGGGCTGTATGGGAATTCAATGAGATAATCCATGTGAGAGGCTTATGCTAACCTCCTGTGAAAGTGGTCCTACAAAGAGAGGCCTAGAGTCAAACTCCTTGTAGAAAACGCTGGGTTAAATGAAATTAACCTGGATTTGCTTGTTTTCCTAGGAGGGCCTCTCAGAGCATTTAAAGCATTATTGAGCATTTCACCTCTCTAAGAGAGGGGAACAATATACAGAGAGGTCTGCATACCCAGGCACCCTCGATCCCCGTATTACCTTACAGAAGTGACCTTCTCCAGCACACACCGCCGGAAACACTACTGAGCCTCTGCAGCACGCTGACAAATGACCCAGTTCCTGGTGTATACATACAGGTGCCTGAGTTCATTAATTTTCTACTGGTCACTGTGAGCTTCTCTTGCAGAGGGTGGCATTTTCTGGTTTCTCCAAATCAAGGTCCTCTCTTTTGGAGTCTATAGCTATTTTGGCCAATTTTATTCACCTGACTTTCCTGTTGTTTTTTCTTTGCTCAGCTTTTAATACTGGCCTGGGTTTTTAGACCTGCATTGTTATTAAATAAATGTAATATCTTTTGTTTTCCAACATTTAGTCTTATTAGCTTCATTCAAAAAACAAAACGTTAAATTGGGCTACCTGCTCAACATCATCTGGGTCTATGTGAAAAATGAAAAAAAAAACCTCTCTCCATGTTATTGTTACTTCAGTTCAGGAAATTGAAATCAATACAGAAATAGAAGTGGTAAGGTTTACCTTATTTTTCAGAGTCCAAAACATACGTATTTAAAATGTGTTAATAAGCCATAAAACATTCTACAAAATATAGAAACATTTAGTCTCAACCTTGTGTTTCAGAAACACTCCCTTGAAAAAATAAGTAGATTCAAATTGCAGACTACCTAAAGTAATCATTAATGAAAGAAAAGGAAAAGAACTGGACGGATGCGGTGGCTCACACCTGTAATCCCAGCACTTTGGGAGGTTGAAGCAGGTGGATCACTTGAGGCCAAGAGTTCAAGACCAGCCTGGCCAACATAGTGAAACCCATCTCTACTAAAAAAAAACAAAAATTAGCTGGGCATGGTGGCACATGCTTGTAATCCCAGCTGCTGGGGAGGCTGAAGCATGAGAATTGCTTGAACCCGGGAGGCGGAGGTTGCAATGAGCTGAAATCGTGCCACTGCACTCCAGCCTGGGCAACAGAGACTCTGTCTTAAAAAAAAAAAAAAAAAAAAAAAAGGAAAATAACTTAAGAATGTGATGTGAAGCTTCATGCACTAATGATTCAAAGTTTGGGGAAAGTACTGAATCATCCACACTATAATATCAGGGCAATTGGCCATCTGAATAACACATTATGAGCCAGAGGTCACTTACCTCTGTAGGTTAGAGAACTTGCAAGAAACCAGACAGGCGACAGAGCACCAGGAGAGACAAGGAAATCCATGTGTCATAGACAGAACTGTGTCTTCCCCAAATTCATCTGCTGAAGTCTCAGTCCTCAGTACCTCAGAATGTGACCGTATTTGGAGACAGGTTATTTAAAAAGGCAATTAGGTTAAAATGAGGTCATTCACATAAGTCCTAATTTACATGACCAGTCTCTTTATAAGAAGAGGTGATTAGGACAGAGACTCAACAGAAAGAAGACCATGTGAAGGTACATAGAGGAGATGACTGTCTACAAGCCAAGGAGAGAGGTCTCAGAAGGAACCAAGCCTACAGACACAGTGATCTCAGACTTCCAGCCTCCAGAACTGAAAGACAATAAATATCTGTGGTTTAAGCCACCCAGTCGATGGAACTGAGTTATGGTAGCCCTGGCAATCTCATACACCATGGCTCTGGGTTAGACACCCTCCGGGCTCATCACCAAGTGTGAATTCCCATGATTAAGCGCCATAGTTGTCCCCTGCACAGGCTGCTGCTGGAGTGTGCCATCACTTAGACTGGCTTTTCTCATCATGGGTTCCTTCTTTGAGATGTAACCAAGGCCCCGCTATGTGTTCGGCTTATCAAGGTTTTCCAGGATAGCCATGACATGTGGTTTCACTGACTAAACTGAGATTTCAGTTTCAGTCCAACGACTTGACATTTCATGTTCATTTTTCGGTCTGTTTCAGAATAATTTCAGAAGGAGTCAACTGATTTCATCAAAAGCACTGTGTGATGGAAGGGTTCCAAATCTGAAATTCAATCTGTGGGCCAGGCTAATGTTTCGAAACAATAGCTTCAATATGGATTCAAATGGGCGCTGCTATGATTAGACTGAAAAAAAAAATCTGTTCAACTGCAAGAACATAAAAAAAAAAAAAAACACAGACAGAGGAAAGAAAGAAAATGAGAGAGAGAGGTGTATTTTTACTAGGGTACTTAATTGGTAAAAACTGGAAGAGTGGCAAGCAAGGATTCGGATGATGATAAGAATAGTTCTTGTTTGCGGAACATCTCCTCTGGCTCAGGTACTCTCCTCCCATGTTGGATGCTCTCCACCTCCCTGACAAGCACGTGTTAGCATTGTCAAGACCTATATACCACGACGGCGGTACGAAGATGGTAAATGAGCTGCCCAGGGCCGTACAGCTAGTAGGATACCCACCTACTCTAAACTGACTTAGAGGCAGACACTGCTCCCATCGTGGTGTGCTGCCTCCTCCAAACAGGCAGGATTTCGGAAAGGATACCCAGGAAGCCCTAGGCAGTGGGCAGAGCTGAGCATGGCCCCAGGCCTTGGTATTATAAAGTGAAGATTTCCAATGCAGGCCTTCTTGTTCTGATGGGGCAGGTTCCTGCCACACAGGATGTCTGCATATGTCTGGGAAAGACATTGCTGAGATCATTTAACTGCTGTCAGTGGCAAACAGTTGTAAACAAAGAAGCCAGATGCATGAAGTGCTGTATTTCAGCACTTCCAAATGGTTCAGGCTTTATGCATCCCTGTTTTGCAGTCAAAGAGATATTGTCAGTTTTAATTGTTCCAATCAATATCAAAATAATTTTAGAGAGTCATTTAATGCAAGGGTGACTCATTTTAAACAAAGCAATTAATATTGTCTAACACAGCGCCGGGCAACTGATCCCACTGAGAACACTCCAGCATGCCATTATTTCAGAGTGAAGATATCTAATCCAGGCCTTCCTGTGGGGACTGGTTTGTCTTAGGCTTGGATAGACAAACAAAGAATAACATTTCAAACAGACGCTGAGGCAGAATTAATATCATTCATCATAGATTTCTAGCAAAATTGTTTTAAGAAACCCTCCTTAAAATGTTTAAATGCCCTTACATATCACATTCATAATAAGATTCATAATATAATTCATAATATGCATAATAATTCATAATAATAATAAGCATGTACATAATAAGAGTTAAAAAATGAAACAAAGATAACCACCAATCCCGTTACTTTTCTATATTTTTTAAGTACCCTGCAATGCAGTAACACAAAAGAAAAATAAATAACGGTGAATGGATTCACTGGAGAGATATTTAATAAGTTGCTGCCAGATGCTCTCAGCATGGGGAGGCAGTGGTCAGTTAGGTAATCTTCTGACCCATATGGAGTTTATCTTCTAACATGGTTTTGCTCTGTGTCCCCACCCAAAGCTCATGTTGAATTGTAATTCCCAGTGTTGAGGGAGGGACCTGGTGGAAGGTGACCATGGGGATGGATTTCCCCCTTGCTAGTCTCATGATAGTGAGTGAGTGCTCACGAGAACAAGCTTAACCAAAGTGTGTGGCACTTCCCCCTTCGCTCTCTTCCTCCTGCTCCAACATGTGAAGACGTGATGGCTTCCCCTTTGCCTTTGGCCATGATTTTAAGTCTCCTGAGTCCTCCCAGCCATGCTTCCTGTACAGCCTGTGGAACTGTAAGTCAGTTAAATGTCTTTTATTCCTAAATTACCCAGTGTCAGGTAGTTCTTTATAGCAATGTGAGAACAGACTAATACACCTATGGAGGGACAGAAACAAGGTTTGCAGGAATAAGTAAGCAGGTGAATGGCAGGTCATGGTAAATGTAATGATTACGGGTTTTAAAGGTAGCATGGCAGAAAGTGGCAGAGATCGAGCCTCTATTTAAGTAGTAAACAGGCCTCTGTGAGGAAGTGATATTGGAAATGAGACCTGAATGCTGAGAGGAGCCAGCCCTTTGAAAGTTGTGGGAAGAACATCAAGGGTGGAGGGAAAGTGTAAGCAAAGACCCTGGAGCAGGAACACACTTGGCATCTTCTGAGGGACAGGAAGAAAGCAGTGAGGATGCAGCGCTAGACAGGAGAGGACAAACCGGGACGAAGCCAGGAGAGACAAGACCAGGCTGTGCAGGGAGAGGAGTTGGGGTCCATCAAAGGGCAATGGGGATGCAGCAACAGATTGATAAACAAAATACCACATACACGCATGGAGGGGAATATTATCCAGCCTTAAAGAGGAAGGAGATCCAGACCCCTGCTACAACATGGATAAACCCTGAGGACGTCACACTCAGTGAAATAAACCAGTCGCAAAACACAAATGCTGTATGATTCCACTTACATGGGGTTCCTAGAGCAGTCCAATTCATGAAGACAGGAGCAGAGTGGTGGCTACCATGGGCTGAAGGGATGGGGAGGGGTTGTTTAATGAGGGCAGAGTTTCAGTTTTGCAAGATGCACAAGTTCTGGGGATCTGTTGCACAACAATGTCACAGAAATGCTTAATGCTACTCAACTATGTGCTTAAAAATGGTAAGATGGCAAATTTTATGTTACATTTTTTTGTTATCACAATCAAAAATATAGTTTTCAAAAAGGGCAATGGGGAATTGTGGAAAAGCAGAGACACTTAGATTTTTTTAAAACATGATTAGTTTAAGATGACTGGACTCCACCTCCAAAAAGTCTAAAAGACAAACTTACTGAAAACGTAAACATAATTAAAAAAAAAAAACCCTCTGAAGAAGAAGACCCCTCTGTATATAAGAAAAATATACAAAAAAGTAGCAAAGTCATTAATTATAGGAAACAAATAAACAAAACCATTGTGAAATTCAAGATCCCATTTATAAAACATTCAAGAATCTGAAATCATAATAATCGTAATAAACAGAATTGCATATCATCATTATTAAAAACCTTGTGGCCGGGCCTGGTGGCTCATGTCTGTAATCCCAGCACTTTGGGAGGCCAAGGCAGGCAGATCACAAGGTCAGGAGTTTGTGACCAGTCTGGTCAACATAGTGAAACCCTGTCTCTACTACAAATACAAAAATTCGCCAGGCATGCTGGCATGTGCCTGCAGTCCCAGCTACTCGGAGGGGGCTGAGGCAGGAGAATCGCTTGAACCCAAGAGGTGGAGCTTGCAGTGAGCCAAGATCGCGCCACTGCACTCCAGCTTGGGCAACAGAGTGAGACTTCATGTCAAAAAAAATAAAAAATAAAAAAATTCCTTGCAAAGTTATTGAAGAGGTACTCAATAAATTGCTGCTGGATGAATGAGCGAAATTAGAATGTCTTATCAGGAGTATAAAAAGAAGACAAAGAAAGTAGAGAAACATCGTGTTCCATTTCACAGATATAATGGGATTCCAATTGAAATATAAATAAAGTCCGTTTTTATAAATAACTCAGCCAAATATTGTTAAATTCATTTGGCAAAAATAAAATAGAGGTGAATTTGCCATGAAGCTAAGGACACAGAGGTTTCAGGGCCCCTCATTTGCTCTCTTTCACAGAGGGAGCCTGGATGCTTTGTATTAATAATTTTGTCTTGTTTTTCTTAACAGGGCACTCAAACGGTGTAAGTTTTATGTTCCACAAAACACATAGTCTTCCCTGTGTGGGTATGTTAACAACTATTCCAAGTAGAAGAAAATAAACCTTAGCCTTTTTGAAAAACATAATATTAGCTCCCATGGCAATAAAATGCCAAGTAGAATTGCAAAGAAATGAAAATAAAGATGAAAGGAAGGAACAGGCACAGTAGAATAGACCCAGAATAATATATTATTATGCAATCTTCTCAAAACAAAAGGATAAGGAATTGTAATATAAATAATGTTGGGATAATCTGGGAGCAATTTGGAGAAAACCTAATTTATATCCATACTTTACACCATAATCCCTGAATAAAGGAGGCTGTTTCATCATTACAAATATATTTGTAGAGAAAAATCAGCAGAAAATATCCTACCTTTGAAGAAATAATAAATAATTTTTTTTCAAAATTCAAGGAAATACGAAACGGACTGATGGGCAATGCAATGTTGAAATGTTTGACTGCAGTGATTAAAATAAAAAGAACTAGACTAAAATGTAGGGGGAGACATGTAAGATAAAATATTTACATGAATTATGTCTACAAATATGATTAATATTGATAACGACCTTTGAAAATGCTCATGCATATTTGGAAAGACTTAAGACCTTCATAAAAAAATGAGTCAAGGCCAACTACAAAAAATATACACACATAAGCGGATAAAAATAATAAACCAGCACTTGAATAAACATAAAGTAAGATAAAAATAACGTAAAATAAAATATAAAATAACATAAGATAAAAATTAGCCTAACAGCATATGTGAACTTTTAAAACTTAAATGAGAAAATAGTTTAAATAATAACATCTGTTGCTGGTGAGGTTGGGATAAAACTAATATATACATAGACGTGTGTATGCATCTGTGTGTATATAATATGCAGTTGATAGCATTGTACATTAGTACAAACTTTTAGATCACTGTGCTTTGACAACTAAATTTTTTAACCTTGTTTTCCCACATCTAGAAATTTATCTAGCAGGAATGATTAAGGAAATAATTAAATAGAAGCTATAATTGGCCGGACACGGTGGTCACTCCTGTAACCTCAGCACTATGGGAGGTCGAGGTGGGTGGGTCATGAGGTCAGGAGACCGAGACCATCCTGGTCAACATGGTGAAACTCCGTCTCTACTAAAAGTACAAAAACTAGCTGGGCGTGGTGGTGTGCACTTGTAGTCCCAGCCACTCAGAGAGACTGAGGCAGGAGAGTTGCTTGAACCTGGGAGGCAGAGGTTGCAGTGAGCCAGGATAGTGCCACTGCACTCCAGCCTGGGAGACAGAGCAAGACTCCATCTAAAAAAAAAAAAAAAAAGAAGCTATAATGTATAATTTAAAATTAATTGTTGCTGTGATATCTGTTAGAGAAACAAGTAAGAACAACTTAAATGTTGAATAACAGAGAAATAGATGAGCAAATTCTGGTACTTCAATGTGATTCATTTTAACAAAGCGGTTAAAAGACCATGTAGAAACTCAGGCAAGTGTACACTATAATATAAAATGAATCAAGTATGTGAGCACAGACCCAAGGTGAACAAATGCCTACCCCATCCACCCACCCATTAGAGAACAACAAGTTAGATTCAACGTTTCTTTGGCCCTTGGGATGTGTGTGTGGCCGGGGCGGAGAGGGGGTGTAGGGGTTGGTGCTAATGGGAATTGCCAGATATCATAACTACTTTAAGTAAGAAAACAGTGAATTCCCATATTTTATTTTTTTAACCCATAGTGTGTTTTTATTAAGATTCTGCCTTTTAGGACTAGACCCTCTTAAATGTCAAAACCAGAGTGAAGATGTCCATTACCTGCATATAAACCTTGAGCTTTTGGCAGGCAATTTTTAAACATCAAAAGAGTGCTCTAGGAATTCCAAATAAAAACCAAAGTCTTACTTTCAATTTCTTAAAAGAGTTTCTTTTCTTCTCACACTCTCATTCTTCATCATAGATCCACTCTACATCAAATAGTCTATTATTTTCCACTTGGGGAGAAATATGGCTTGGTGTGACTTTAGCCTTTCAAACGTAAACCTGCAGAGCCAAGTTCCAGTAGGGAAATGAATTTTTATTGCACAGTTAAAAGTAAAGAGTGGAAACACTGTGAAATCCTTAACAATCTTCAGCTTTATCACATATTCCTTCATCTTCGGCGGTCAGATGGGACAGCCCCGAGACGCCACCAGACTTCAGGGCTAGGTCCATTGCCTGTGCATCTCCACCTGAGTTCAGGTTCCTCAAAACAGAATATATTATAGAATCCTTTACTGTAAATGTGTTATTTATTTATTGTTTTTTTTTTTAGACGGAGTTTCGCTCTTTTTCCACAGGCTGGAGTGCAATGGTACGATCTCGGCTCATTGCAACCTCCACCTCCCGGGTTCAAGCGATTCTCCTGCTTCAGCCTCGCAAGTAGCTGGGATTACAGGCACCTGCCTCCACACCCGGCTAATTTTTTGTGTTTTTAGGAGAGACGGGGTTTCACCATGTTGGCCAGGATGGTCTCAATCTCTTGACCTCGTGATCCGCCCGCCTCGGCCTCCTGAAGTGCTGGGATTACAGGCGTGAGCCACCCTGCTCGGCCCTAAATGTTTTATTTTTTTAAATGAAGGAATGTACCATTTATAGAAAAAAACACTTTAATATTACAAACCAAACAGAAGGACTTTAAACATATAGTTAAGTAGACAGTGTTTGGGTTCATTTTCTATTGATAATGTCTTATCAAATATATAGTGTTTGTACGTAGTATGGATGTGTTTTGTAAAGCTCTCTTGAGATAATTCTTTCGTATAACTGAATAACCTTGCAGGAGGATGAGTGTAGAATGTACATTTCTGTGAAATAAGCACTCAGAACAGCGCCTGGCATATGGGAAGCACTACATAGTTTTCAGCTGCTGCTGATGTTATTATTGTTATTGTTGTTGTTATTATTATTATACGAGGCAAATGTGTTTTCTGGAATGTAGCCAACAATAGAGAACGTTTTAGGACTGAGCAAGGGCTCAAACTGAATATTCTGGAAACAATGATGCTTACAGAATGGTCCAAGATATTGCCTGAGGATGAACCTGCAAGGCTGAATATATCATTATTCAGCAATGAATACCTACTGCGTGGTTTACATTGTCTGTGAAATACACGACAATTCAATATGAAAGAGTTCGTGGTCTTAGGAATGAACTTACACTATATTAAGGTTAAACATGTCAGGCAGAGGGATATGGAATTTAAACAGCATGCCACTTCTGGGTGGGTTATATTTTTTCATCACTGAGTGTTAATTCTAAATTGATTAAGATACAACTGGGGAACAGTGGGGAATGGGGGAGGCAGAAATAAAATGCCAGGAGGGAGCTATGAGAGAAAATTTAACCTTCTATATGGAAACCATGGGCAGAGCCAATAGGTTCCAGTCGTCCCGGCTGAGGTCCCTGTGAAGTGGAACCCAGACATGGAGTCCCAACCACAATCAGCAAGGGTGCCTGGATGGGGACCTCCCCAGGCCAGGTATCAACAAATGTCAACCTTCTCTCCTAAATACCCCTAAAATCCGTCTAAGTCTCTCCACCTCTGCAATCATCAGTTTAGATCATTCGTTCACTGAAACAAATATTTATTCAGCACTAACGCTATCCCAAGCACTAAGCCAGCTGCCAGATTCTAATAGAGAGGAAACCAGGTGAATTCTCTGGAGACCCATTAGTCTTCCTGCATCTGCTCCAACTCACCGGGAATACCAGCTTCACGCTGCAGTGAGAGTGACATTTCAGTGCCCATGTCTCATTGTAGCAGGCACTGCTACACCCTCCATGGCTTCTCTTTGCTCTTAGGGGATGTGTTACTCAGGGCAGAAAAGATAGATATAGATGGATAAATAGATAGCTAGATGGGTAGATAGATAGACTGATACATAGATACAAAAATAGATATATGAGAAGAGATTTAATAGGGGAACTGGCTCACACAATTATGGAGGCTGAGAGGTCCCACAATAGGCCTTCTGCCAGCTTGGGAACCAGGAAAGCCAGGAGCATAGCTCAATCTAAGTCTGAAGGCCTGAGAACCAGGTGGCTGTTGGGATAAGGGTAACTCTCAGTCGGAGGCCAATCGCCTTAGAACCAGGGCCACTGGTGAAAATCCTG